CTTTCCTTTCCTTTCCTTTCCTTTCCTTTCCTTTCCTTTCCTTTCCTTTCCTTTCCTTTCCTTTCCTTTCCTTTCCTTTCCTTTCCTTTCTCTTTAACCTTTCAACACCTTCTGATCTGCTGGGCTTCTCCCTCTCTGTAAAGCCAAGGAGGCCTAGCTGGGAATCACTCTGATTTTTAAAGATAATCCCGTGGATTAAGATAAGAAATAAATCCATGCTTTTGACAGTTTCTGTAGGGAAAAAAAGCACAAAAATAGGTCAAACTTTGCTGTGGCTTCTTTGCTTCCCCAGAGCAAGCAGAGCTCGTCCTACTCGGACAGAGACACGACGGAGGAGGAGTCGGAGTCCCTGGATGACATGGATTTCCTCAGCAGGCAGAAGAAGCTCCAGGCTGAAGCCAAGATGGCCTTGGCTATGGCCAAGCCCATGGCCAAGATGCAGGTGGAGGTGGAGAAGCAGAACAGGAAGAAGTCGCCGGTAGCAGATCTCGTAAGTGGGGCCAGGAGTGACCCCAGGCAGGACATCCAACTCCTCTGGTGGCTCTGGCTCACAGGGTGCTAGAGGTGGACAGGAGGGGTGGAAAAGGGGTTGGAAGGAGAAATGGGAGCAGGGAATGAGGTGCTGGAGGTTGGTGCTGCCTTGAGGCTGCTCGTGCTCTGAGCTGGAGTCTTCATCCCATCTTGGAGCGCTCTTGCCCCGGCCTAGGACTGTCACCACCACCCTCACCCCCAATTCCCTCAGATGTTCCTGCTCCTGCTCCACTGGGAGCCAATTCCTTCAGATATTCCTGCTCCTGCTCTACTGGGAGCCAATTCCACCAGATATTCCTGCTCTCCTGGGAGCCCATTTCATTAGATATTCCTGCTCCCCTGGGAGCCAATCCTATCAAAATATTCCCGATCCTGCTCCCTTAGGAACCAAATCCATCAAATATTCCTGCTCCTGCTCCCCTAGGAGCCATAGGCCCAGTTCTGTGCTGGTGGCTGGACTCCATTTGCTGGAGCCGTTGCTGCCTGTTTGTGAGGGGGGGATGCAAAACTGAGGGGACAAACTGCTCAGTGCTAGAAATAATGGGAAGAAAACAGTAAAATATTGGAAGGAAACGGTAAAATATTGGAAGGAAGCAGTAAAATATTGAATGTTTCTTTCCAGCTGCCACATATGCCTCATATAAGTGAATGCCTGATGAAGAGAAGTTTAAAACCCACTGACCTAAGGGACATGACCATTGGGCAGCTACAGGTGATAGTCAACGACCTGCACTCACAGATAGAAAGTAAGTGGTGATTGCTTCATTATTCTGGGGTCTGCCTGCTTTAATTAAGAACAGTTCTCTGGGATAAATATAAATATTCCTCATGGAAAGGGCTGTCTGGCCTAGCCCAGCTGCCCAGGGCTGGGCTGGAGTCGCCATCCCTCAGGGATTTCAAGCCCTGTGGATGTGGCACTTTTGGGGACACAATCCCCAGCTGGGATCCCCAGGACACCCCAAACTCATCCCCTTTCCCCCGGCTCAGGCTTGAACGAGGAGCTGGTGCAGCTGCTGCTGATCCGGGACGAGCTGCACACGGAGCNTGCCGCCGTGCTGCGGGAATGCTGCGGGAATGCTGCCCGGGCCCGCCCAGCCCGGTGGGATTCGGGGGCTGGAGCAGGGAGAATCCGCGGTTTGTAAAGGGCTGGCACGGGCAAACCTCCCTCCTTCCTTCTTTCCTTATCTCCTGGTGATAAAATAGCAGGGGAAGCTTCCAAAGGCATTCTCCTGCCTGGAAACCCCCGGGGGTTTAAGGCACATTGTCAAGCGTCACTTTGTTCTGACTTGGGTCACAAGTTTTGACTTGGGTTTGCATTCACCCCGGGAAGAGAGAAGGAGATAAACCCACGTTTTCTGTGATCCACGTTGTTTGTAAATCCCAGAATAGCCCCTGTGCAGGGCAGAGATAAAATGAGACGCTGCCTTTGGCTCTGGGGCTTTAAATATAGGCCTGGGCTGGGCTGGGAATGACAGAGCCTGGCAAAAATAGCCCTGGTGGCCTGGCCGAGTGTCCCAGTGCTCCTGCTGAGATCCCAGTGCTCCTGTTGGTGTCCCAGTGCTCCTGTTGGTGTCCCAGTGTCCCTGCTGGTGTCCCAGTGCTCCTGCTGGGTATCCCAGTATCCCTGCTGGTTCCCAGTGTCCCTGTCGGTGTCCCAGTGCTCCTGCTGCTGTCCCAGTGTCCCTGTTGGTGTCCCAGTGTCCCTGCTGGTGTCCCAGTGTCCCTGCTGGTGTCCCAGTGTCCCTGCTGGTGTCCCAGTGCTCCTGCTGGTGTCCCAGTGTCCCTGCTGGTTCCCAGTGCTCCTGCTGAGATCCCAGTGTTCTTACTGGTGTCCCAGTGTCCCTGTTGCTGTCCCAGTGCTCCTGCTGGTGTCCCAGTGTCTGTCCCTGCTGCTGTCCCAGTATTCCTGCTGAGATCCCAGTGTCCTTGCTGGGTATCCCAGTGTCCCTGCTGGTTCCCAGTGCTTCTGCTGTGATCCCAGTGTCCCTGTTGGTGTCCCAGTGTCCCTGCTGTGATCCCAGTGTCCCTGCTGGTGTCCCAGTGTCCCTGTTGGTGTCCCAGTGTCCCTGCTGCTGTCCCAGTGTCCCTGCTGGGTATCCCAGTGTCCCTGCTGTGATCCCAGTGTCCCTGCTGGGTGTCCCTCCATCCCTTGTCCCCAGTCCCTCTCCAGCTCTCCTGGAGCCCCTTCAGGCCCTGCCAGGGCTCTGAGCTCTCCCTGGATCCTTCTCCTCTCCAGGAGCCAGGGAAGGGCTCCCAGTGCCAGAGGGCAGGGATGGGTGGGACATTGGGAATTGGGAATTCCTGGCTGGGATGGATTCCCAGAGCAGCTGGGGCTGCCCCTGCATCCCTGGCAGTGCCCAAGGCCAGGCTGGATGGGACTTGGAGCACCTGGGGCAGTGGGAGGTGGCCCTGCCATGGCTGGGATGAGCTCTGAGGTCCCTTCCATGCCAAAGCAGGATTATTCCAGCACTGTGTGACACGTGTGTGTCCCTGTTCCCTGGAGCTGTGTTCCCCTCCCAGGCCCCAGCCCAGGCACTGCTGCCCTTCCGACAGGGAAGGTCGAGGGGAAGAAGGAAAATCCGCCCCAGATTGTTTTGTTCTCCCCTTAAAAGTCAAAAGCAGCTTTTTGTTTAAAATCATTGTGAGAACTGGATTGTGCTCAGCTCTGCACAGAGCAGAAACACTTTTATTTTTTGGGTCAGTGCCAAAATACACATTTAAATACCACGGGGTTGTTTCCCTTGGAGTTACCTTTGCATTTTGAGGGTTTGACCCATTATTCCTTCTATACCAAGGCAGAATATTTCACAGTCAAAACCCACCTTGCTGTTTCCCTTCTCCATTTATAATTTTTCATACCCAGCTCTGGATTTTGAGTGCAGCTGTCAGGTAATTTATCCAGAGCCTAAAGTCCAGTTTTCCCTCAGGTGTATTTTATTTCTTGCTAACTGCTCCCCATTTTATAATAACAAATAGGACTCTGGACTTCTTTATGGTCGTTAGCCTGGGCCTGCCTTGGAAAATGGGATATTCCCAGCTCAGTCCTGGGCAGCACGAGGAGCTGGCACCAACCTCCCTCCTTCTGCTTTCAGTTCATTAAAAATGATTCTCACTCATTTCTCCTCATTTTTTCCCCTGTTCTGCCCTCCCCAGCAGGGCTGGCTGTTTATAATCCTAAATCTGTCTCCATGTGATTGAGGTATTGATTATTGAAGCCTAAAAACAAAATGGTCTGGGTAAAACTTCAGGAACCTGGAGCTCAGCCCAAAAACTCGGTGTTGCTTGGTGTCGTGGGGTTTGTTTTTGTTATTTTAAGGATTTGAAATAAATGGAGTTAGGTTATAAATGAATTATTTTGGTAAGGAATTGACAATTTAATGGGCAGAGTAATAATGTGTATAATCAGCACTGGAGCTGGAATTAAATCATTCGTTATTTTAGGTGAATAATTTGCATTTTGTCACACTTCCTTGTACAAAAAAGTGCTTTATTTTTCCTGAGGTGGGATATGGGAAGCACAATTCCACGAATTAACCCCATGGAGGCAGCCCAGCCTTGCCTGCCCTATTTCTTTTTGTTGTGTTTTCTGGATTGGGTATTGAGTGTTATTTTATAATTAAATGTTTGAGGCTTTCCAAGTGTTCCTTCCATCAATAACTTCCTGAATTTGTTGTCAGTGTTGGCACGTGACCCATTAGTGACAGACACTGGGGGAGGTTTTGAATCTGGAGCTGAGATTTGCATTTATTGCACATTGATTGCACGGTTATTGATCGGGGATTCATTGCAAATCGTTTTGTTGATTGCTATTTTAAAACTCCTGTACTTATATTTATATTTATGTTTATTGTTGTGACTGTGCTTGTGGCTATATTTATATTTATAATTACACTTGTGTTTTGTTTATATTTATAACTAGAAATACATTTTTAAACCCAGGGGCGATTTGATGACAATGGTTCAAAATCCATCCCTGGGCACGCTGGCAGGGGAGGGATTTCGGTGGGGTTGGAAGCTGCTCAGGGAAGGGGAAGATGCTGATGGAGGTGGCTGTGTGTGGATATAGGTGCAGATATTGGGGAATATACACCAGGATATATCTGTCAGTGAGTTTGGGGTGCAATCAGACGCCCTTTAAGGTCCTTTCCAACCCCAACCCAGACCAGGCTGGTTCCATGAGATGGGGATTCCCATTGGGATGTGCTCTGTGGCTGAGCCAGGTGTGGAAGGCTTGGGAGGTGCTGGATGTGCTGAGCTTGGTGGTGGGGCCGGTGGGACAATTCTCCTTCCTGTGCCCTGGCCTGGCCAGAGCTCATCCATCCCTGTCCCTTCCTGGATCTTCATCCTTCCATATGTCTTTCCCAGAGCTTCATCCTTTCCTGTCCCCTCCCAGATTTTCATCTTTCCATATTTCCTTCCCAGAGCTTCATCTCTCCCTGTCCTTTCCCAGATCTTCATCTTTCCATGTGTCCTTCCCAGGAGCTTCATCCTTTCCTGTCCCTTCCCAGAGCTCATCCCTCCCTGTCCCTTTCCACAGCTTCATCCTTCCATGTGTCCTTCCCAGAGCTTCATCCTGTCCTGTCCCTTCCCAGAGCTTCATCCTTTCCTGTCCCTTCCCAGACCTTCATCTTTCCATATGTCCTTTCCCAGATCTTCATCTTTCCATGTGTCCTTTCCAGGAGCTTCATCCTGTCCTGTCCCTTCCCAGAGCTCATCCCTCCCTGTCCCTTTCCACAGCTTCATCCTTCCATGTGTCCTTCCCAGAGCTTCATCCTTTCCTGTCCCTTCTCAGACCTTCATCTTTCCATATTTCCTTCCCAGGAGCTTCATCCTGTCCTGTCCCTTCCCAGAGCTCATCCCTTCCTCTCCCTTTCCACAGCTTCATCCTTCCATGTGTCCTTCCCAGAGCTTCATCCTTCCATGTGTCCTTCCCAGACCTTCATCCTTTCCTGTCTCTTCCCAGATCTTCATCCTTTCCTGTCCCTTCCCAGACCTTCATCTTTCCATATTTCCTTCCCAGAGCTTCATCTCTCCCTGTCCTTTCCCAGATCTTCATCTTTCCATGTGTCCTTCCCAGAGTTCATCCTTTCCTGTCCTTTCCCAGATCTTCATCTTTCCATATTTCCTTCCCAGAGCTCATCCCTCCCTGTCCCTTTCCACAGCTTCATCCTTCCATGTGTCCTTCCCAGATCTTCATCCTTTCCTGTGTCCTTCCCAGAGCTTCATCCTTTCCTGTCCTTTCCCAGATCTTCATCCTTCCATGTGTCCTTCCCAGAGCTTCATCTCTCCCTGTCCTTTCCCAGACCTTCATCCTTCCATGTGTCCTTCTCAGACCTTCATTCCCCGTGTCCCTGCCC